GGTATACACTTATACTGTATATATTTTCAGTGTACTGACAATCCAAATGTTTATCTTTTTAATGGTTATATTACATTCCCTTTTATTACTGCACTGTAGTTTACTTGACCATTTTGCAATTACTAGATGTGTATAGCATATTCTTAGTGTCTTTGTATTAAAGACTTTATCATCTGATCCCCACAATATTTCTGTATTATTAGACTGCAGGCTTATCCCCATCTTACAGATGAAGAATGGTGGCATAGAAAGTCTGAGCTCCCCCGAGGCAGTTATAACCACAAGTCAAAAGAGAATCCTAGGTCTACTGTCTTCAAATTCAATCATTTCCCTGCTTTGTTTAGATCTCCTTTGTTTAGAACTTTATTTTTTATCTATGGGTTTTTGAAAAATGACATTCTAACTTCTGCCACCATCAGGTGAATAATTTATAAAAGATTAAAAATATTTTCATACAGAATTTACTAGTTACTGATACTAGACAAGCTGAAAACAATATAAGCAATTAAACTCCAAATAAATACTATTTTACATATTTTTTAATTGAATCCTCCACTAAATTCACTAAAGCATTCACACAGTAATGATACTGTTCTTTTTTTTGGTATATCTGATAGACAAGGTGGAATACCATTATTTCAAGAAACAGGTACTATTCTAGATGCTACAGATATAGCAATTAATACAACAGTAAAAAGCATCCTTGTCATCATGGAACATGCATTCTAATACTGAAGATAGGTGACAAGATAAATCACTAAAATGAACAATATGTTAGTGATGAGTATGAAGCAGAAAATGAAAGCAGGAAAGGGGGATAGGAAATGCTGGGGAGGGGTGGTGTGTGGTATTAGATGGAGTGGCTAGTGAATCCTTATTGGATAGGAAACATTTGAGTCAAGATCTTAAGGAAAAGAAGGAGTAAACCAGGTAGATAAGTAGGGGAAGAGTAGTCTAGGCAGTGGAAACAGTTAAGTGCAAAGACCCTCAGTTGGGAGCTTGATTGGTGTGTTTAAGGAACAGCAAGAAGGCCATTGTATCTAGAGCAGAAGTAGTAAAAGATGAAATCAGAGAAGTAATGGTAGCCAGATCAGATAATGAACTTGTAGATCTTCATAAGGCCTTTGGGGTCTACACTGAGTGAGATGGGAAAGCTACTGGAGGATTCTGAGGAAAGGAATGATTTGATCTGATTTACCTTTCAACAGGGTTGAGAACAGACTGAAGGGGGCATGAGAGCAGAAGACCAGTTAGGAGACTACGGCAATAATCTCAACAAGAGATGGTGGTTTGGATCAGGTAACAGCAGTGGACTGATTCTAGATATAATTTAAAGGTGAAGCCAACAGGATTTGCTGGTAGATTAGACAATATGAGGAGAAGAAGAGGAGTCTCCCAGGATTCAGGCCTCAGCAAATGGAAGAAAAAAGTTGATGTTACAGCAAGGGAAGTGGGGAGAAGAAGGTTATCAGCAGCTCAATGTCAGGTACAGTTTTAGAGTTACCGACTCCATAAAAAGTGCTGGTGTCAAATCAGCAGTTAGACAAGTCTGGAAACAGAGGTACAGACTAGGGATATAACTTGGGAGTTATCAGCATCCCAGTGGTATTTCGAACAGAGAATGAACACAGCTGGAAAGAGATGTCCGAAGACTGAATTCCAATTACTCCAGTGTTCAGAGGTTGGGGAAATAAGAAGGCATTAATGACTGAGAAGAAAGAAAAACAGACAAGTAGAAACTAAGTACAAGAAGTGTTTCAAGGAAGAGAGCAACTCATAAACTGTGCCAAGTGATAGATTAATAATCAACTGTGCCACATGCTGATAGGTCAAATAAGATGAGGACTAAGAATGCACCACCGAATTTTGCAATATAGTAACCACTGATGAATCTGCAAAGATACTGATTCTTTTTTTTTTTTTTTGAGAGGGCATCTCTCATATTTATTGATCAAATGGTTGTCAACAACAATAAAATTCAGTATAGGGGGGTCAACGCTCAATGTACAATCATTAATCCACCTCAAGCCTAATTCTCGTCAGTCTCCAATCTTCTGAAGCATAACGAACAAGTTCTTACATGGTGAACGAATTCTTACATAGTGAATAAATTCTTACATGGTGAACAGTACAAGGGCATTCATCACAGAAACTTTCGGTTTTGATCACGCATTATGACCTATAAACAATCAGGTCAAATATGAATATTCGTTTGATTTTTGTACTTGATTTATATGTTGATCCCACATTTCTCCTATTATTATTATTATTTTTATTTTTAATAAAATGCTGAAGTGGTAGGTAGATGCAAGATAAAGGTAGAAAACATAGTTTAGTGCTGTAAGAAGGCAAATGTAGATGATCAGATGATCAGGTGTGTGCCTATGGACTAAGTATTAATCCAGGCTAGACAAGGGCAGCAAGACATCCACGGATGCAGAAGATTTCTCTCAAAGCAGGGGGGGTGAGGTTCTGAGCCTCACCTCTGTTGATCCCCAAATTCTCACCTGATGGCCCCCCTGCGACTGTGCCTGTCTTAGGTTGTTCCTCCCTTGAGGAATCTTACCCGTCTCTGGCTAACCAGTCATCTTCCGGGGCCATACAGGGAAATGTAAAGTTGGTAAGTGAGAGAGAAGCCATATTGTTTGCAAAGGTTAGCTTTTTACTTCTTTGCAGATTTATGCCCTGTGGCTTCTATGCCCAGCACTTGTCTCGAGGTATCTTTACCACCTGGAGGAATTATGATACTCGGTAAATTCGATATGAGGCACGAATTCTATTTAAGGGTTGTAATTAGGAAGGAAGAAGAAAAGCTATAGATGTAGCATATGAAGGAAACTTGGGAGGATTGATTATTTCTTTGACATATCTTCTTGTATAGTACCTTAAGTATGTATAGGTTTTAAACTACTAACTAATTTGCACACACATATTAACATAATAGGAATACGGTGACATAAACAAAGCAAATCTATAATTACCAGCCATCTCCAGTGAAGCCAAGAAAACCATTTAGGCACCCTAGGCATTTGTGAAAATTTATCTATGATATGATGGATATTTTCCAACTGTACTTGAACCATCAGACAAATTAAAGCAGCCCATTTCTGGGATCTGTTCACATCCCATATGTTCTTTTAACCATAGATAGTCTATAGTCATGAGATTTTGGGGTGCTACAACTTGCACCCCTCCCAACTCCTGGTTGAGTTCCAACAGTACAGATCCAGTCAAATTCGTTGTCTCACTGTATGCACATGCCAGCCTAGACATCTCCCTCCTCCTTCTTATGGCAAGTCCAGGAGACGGTGGGCTGGATGCAGCCACAACCGCAGCATCGTCCGGATCCCTGTGGAGGCTTTTTGATGATCATCCCCCGGCACGAGTCCTCCAGAGAGTGCTGATGCCGGAAGCTCCTCCTCATATCGTATCTTAGTTCATTTTCTGGGTATCCAAGCTAGGCCTTGATCTTCTGCGTAGAAACAAACAGACCCTTTGCCCACACTTTGACATGCCCTCTATACCACTGTGCAGAACTCATTGGAGGTCAGCACACAGTAACTGCTTTTTTTTTTTTTTTTTAATTAAGAGAAAGGAATATTATCAGAAAAGAGTACCTCCATAGCTGATCATCTGACACCCTTTAAGTGATCAACATTAAGGATATTTAAAGCATGCGTTGATCTTTGATTTACCAATAGTTTTATCCTGTTAAGGAGTAATCCCCCTTTTCTTTCTTTCTTTCTTTTTTTTTTTTAAAATTTTAATCTACACTTACATGAAGAATACTATGTTTACTATGCTCTCTCCCCTATATCAGGTCCCCCCTAACAACCACATTACGGTTACTGTCCATCAGCTTAGCAAAATGTTGTAGAGTCACTACTTGTCCTCTCTGTGTTGTGCAGCCCACCCTCCCCTTTCTCCCTACCCCCCATGCATGCTAAAAAGATACTGATTCTTAATCTGAATTTGAGAAACCTCAAAATATCTGGTTACATAGCCTCAAAAAAAAATGAAATTTAAAAAATCCATTGTAATGTTAGAAGACTGCCAACCTTTTTTGTTGTTTGTTTAAAATAGACTGTTTTTTAGGGTGGTTTTAGGTTCACAGCAAAACTAAGTAGAAGGTACAGAGATTTCCCCTGGCCCCACACAGGCACAGCCTCCTCCAGACTGCTGAATTTTAGAAGGTAAAATTTATTATGGAAATGGATGGTAACACAGTTGTTTGTGACCTTTGTAGGGCTGTGACTCTCCAAGCTACAAGTTTTCAATATAGGCTCCCAAAAGTCCTAGAAGTTCCATGGCACCCCTTTAATACTACCACAGTGGGGAGCAAGGAAGTTATCTGTGGGGACTGGGCTTAGGGTCCCTCCGACTTGCTTAACCAGAGCAGCTCAGTGAGTTTTTACATACTGCATTTCACAAGTTTACAAAAAAAAAAATCACTGAAACCCACCACCCTGAAGCAGTGGTTCTCACAGTGCAGTACCCAGATCAGCACCAGCCGCATCACCTGGCATCCAACTCAGACCTCCAGGCAACCCGCCCAACGACCAGCGAGCATTCTGTTCCAGCAAGCTTCCCAGGGATTGTGATGGGTGCTGAAATTTGAGAACCACTGCCTCAAAGATTCCGAATACTTTCCTCAAGTAGCTGATTGCTTTCCTGTAAGCACTGCCATTATCAGTGGAGCTCAAAATAGAATTTTTATGTCATAAAAGAAAACATGCAAATATTTGAGGTTAACATTAGAATAATGTTTCCTACACAGTTATATCTGGACCAAGGTTGCCATCAGACCTATCCAAGGATTATTTTTAAGAACTCTGAAGTCTTTAATAAAATTTTAACTACTAGGTGACCACCTAGATAGCTCTATAGAGAGGTCCCTGAGATACCGAGGTCACATACTGATATTATGAGTGAGGAATTTTTACTGTCAACTTTTAACGAGCTTCAGTCAAAACTTAAAATTTATCTGACATGCAACATACCTCTTTCATATACTGATTATATAGTGCTTCTGATGATTCTAGGTAAGCCTGTGCAGTTTCAATTTCTTCTCTTTCAGACCACAAGATACCCAGGTTATTCTGGAAAATAAAAGAGAAATAAATAATGACAATATAAATCTTCCAATTAAAGTAACTTTCAGAGTTTCAAAGTTGATATTTACCTATCAAATAGTACTGGGTCTAACAATGAATTAATTGTTCATAATAACATTGTCCTAATGAAGTGTGGGAGGTAGATGGTAAGATGGATCCCCAGTGATCCCTGCCTCCTGCTATTCATGCCCTTGTATAATTTTTTCCCCTAAGTATGGGCTGGATTTAGTGACTTGCTTCTAACAAAGAGAATATGACAAAAATGACAGAAGGTCTCTTCCAAAAGTAGGTTACAAAACACTGTGGTTCCACTTGGGGTGCTGCCTCTCACATTATTCTCACTGAAGGAAGCCAAATGCCACGTTGTAAGCCGTCTTACAGACAGGCTCGTGACGAGGAACTGAGGCCCTAAAACCAACAGTTGTAAGGAACAGAATCCTGCCAAGGGCTCCAAGAGTGAACATGGGAGCAGATCCTCCCCAGGCTGAGCCTTTCAAGTGCAGCCCCCACAGGCCAACAATCTGACAGGAGACCTTGAGTCACTGGCAACCAGCTTGGCCATGCCTGGGTTCCTGATTTAATAAAAGTTTGTTGTTCCAAGCTGCTAAATCTGGAGGTAATATGTTACCAACAATGGATAACTAGTATACACAGAGACAAAGATGAGCCAGAAACATATAATGCTTTCAAAATATCTATAATCTCCAGCAAGTGTCTACGGTCTCCAGAGACCTCTTAAAGGAAACATTTTCAATGGCACTGTTTGGTTTGAGCCTGAAAAAAGGGAGCTGAGCTCTCAAATACCAATAATTCAAATTATATGGTATGAAAAATCTGAAGATGCTATATGCATTTCCTTATCAGTTAAGTCAGATTCCTGATGTTTACCATTTCAAACAACAAAAGATTTGTTTATATATTGTTAAAATTTAAACAATATATATACAGTCAACCAAAATTCTTCATTTGGAGAGTCTTTTCTTGTACTGATCACGTCCTTTTGATTGCCATAGCACCAGCTTCCTTCTGCTACCATGAAGGTGCTAAGGAGAGGTTAACTAGATTTGGAGTTATACCCTAAATAACATTTTAAAAACTAAACCAGTTTGTCCCCCGCTATGTAATAACTCTTTTATCAGGTTCTATAGAGGGTAAATCAGACCTGTATACATAGTTGGAACTCAAGATTAACCACCTAGCTCCCCATTAGACAATGGGGTTAGACCACCTCCCATCCCTGGGGAGAGTCCTTTAGGCACAAGGACACTTCTGAGGCTGGGCTTCTATCTTTTGCTTATTTCCCTAAGGAAGGGAACAGTATAAGGAAGCAGAGTTTTTAATGCAGATTCTTAACCCGTAGGTATCCATGAAGAAAATTTAGAATCTCTGAATGTAGATAGGGAAAACATTACAAATTTATCTTCGCTATGTCCTGCTATGTTTAGCATTTTACAATTATGAATGAAGGAAACAAATGCAACACTATTATAGTATCTGGGATTTGTGACCTATATAAGTGAAAAAACTTCATATTACAGTTTGCAGATATCTTGAAATACCATTTATATTCATCACTATTTTTAAATTATGGAGGTTACTAGATATGTTATTGTTATTTAATGTGTTAATAAAGGAGCACATATATATTATACATTTGTTTTAAAAAAGATTTCAATAACTTCCTTCTATATTGATTTCTTTTGTAACCCTTTACATTTTACTTTATACATTTAAAATCATTACTGTTTTATGAAATAAAGGCTTCACCAGACTGTAAAAGGGGCACATGGCAAAAAAATGTTTAAAAAGCCTACAGTATAAAGGGGAGTTGATCATTCCCCTGGAACAGTGACCTCTGGTCTTCTGGCTTCACAAAATTTATCTATAATTTTTTGAAGTGATTTGATCTGTCAGTCCTCAATGTCTACAACCATAGGTCATAGTTATAAGGTATTGAGACGGGGAAGTTCTCTCCTCTGTATTACTTAAGAGTCTTTGCAGAAGCCTGGAGAAGACTGAAGGGCTCTGGCCCACTATTAACTTACGGATTATTCTGCCTACCCCACCTCAGAGAGTATATATAATCTCCCTTAATAATCATATCCTGACCTTAGGAAATGGATCCACAAATAACCTTCTCTCATTCCCTAGTTCAAATTACTTCTTACAAAATGGGAAGCTATAGGTGGTTAGTCTCAAGTTCTGACTATATATACAGGTCCGATTTATAGAGCCTGATAAAAGAGTTATTATGTAGCAGGGGACAAACTGGTTTAGTTTTTAAAATGTTTTAAGAGTCCTCGAGAAACCACCTGGCCACGACACAAGTAAGGCCAACCCCAGCCTATGCTCCTGGCCCAGAGAGTCTAGAGTTATCTAGTACGAGGAACTAGCTAGCCACACTGGCTCTATTTTGATGGGATGGGGACGCATTTAGCCTGCCAGATCCAGGGTGGATTGTGCCACAGAAAGCATCAATGCTGGTGTGTGATAATTACTAAACCAACCGGAGATGCCTGATCTAGAAGTGACAAAGGTTTGTCTTTTGAACCATAACCTATTGAGGTCTTAAAGGTAAGGACCATGCAAGGGATGTAGAATTAATTTTATTTTTCAAAATTAATAGTATTAATGTTTTTTAAGTTTTTATTCCACAAAGATAACTGCTATTGATATTGAATAATTCTACATGAATTATTTTTTAAATATAAATACCACAATACACCAGAAAGTATTGTACCATTCACAGAGCATCATCATGTTCTTGCCCTCAGGATATCAGAGGAAGCAGGGAAAAAATGTTAAATATAATACTGAAAAACAGCTAAGTACTATTGCTGAATTCTACCAAACATGTAAGGAAGAAATAATACCAACTCTACACAAATCATTCCAGAAAAGTACAGAGGAAAGAACAAGTCACACCTCATACTAAAACAAAGACATAACAAGAAAACTATAGACTGATATCTTTCATGAACATGAATACAAAAAACGTCAACAAAATTTTAGCAAGTCCAACATATATGGAAAGGGTAATACTTTAGCCAAGTTTTGCTTAGTAAAAACTCCAAGCAGAGTTTAACACATTAAGGAAAAGTTGGATTAACATTGAAAAATCGATCAATTTGATTCAACATATTAACAGACTAAACAAGAATAAAACATGGTCATCTCTGATGCAGCAATGAAATAATGATGCTGAGTGAAAGAAGGTCAAACCAAAAGAAGAGTATACGCTGGGTAATTTCATTATGAAATTCTAGAAAATGGGGGGAGGGGCACGCAGAAGGGAGAGTGAAAGAATAAAGTCGGGGAGGAAGGGATTAGAAAGGAGCCCAAGGAAACCGTTAGTAGTGAAGACTACTACATTCATTACCTTGACTGCAGTGATTGTTTCATGGGTATAGATGGATGTCAAAATTCATCAGACTGCACGCTTTAGAAACGTGCAATTCATTGTATGTCAGTGGTACCTCCATAAAGCTATACACACACACACACGAGGTACTCTTTATACATACATATCCTGGGAGCAGGGAGAATAATCTACTAATTTCTCAGGGAATTCTAGTAAAGTACAGTTGACCTTTGAATGAAGTGGTTTGAACTTCAAGGGTCCACTTATGTGCAGATTTTTTTTCAGTAAATATATTGGAACATTTTTGGAGATTTGTGACAACTTGTAAAATCATTTTCTTTTCTCTAGCTTTCTTTATTGTAAGACTGTAGTATATAATACAAACACGAAATATGTGTTAATTGACTTTATTTTATCAGTAAGGCTTCTGGTCAATAGTAGTAGGCTACTAGTATTTAGGTCTGGGGGAGTCCAAAGTTATTTGCAGATTTTTAACTGCATGGAGACTGGTTGGTGCCCTAGCCCCCTTGTTGTTTCAGGGGCCAACTGTAGTTAAATTTCACTCAAGATGATAATGCAACATATTGATGATAGCAAAAATCAGGCGGAAAACCAGAAAAAAATCATTCCTAGGGCTCCCAGAACTCAGTAAAGATAAAAGGACAGTCTCTTTTGATAACCTAATGTGGGTCCAAATTCTACATCTCTATAGCTTCCCAGGAAGGAGACACCAGATTGAGACAATGCAGTCAGAATAACATAAATTCCCATGAACTGACACTTTCAATCTTCTTCCTATACATATACACAAGCTTATGTGGTCTTCTACAAAAATGGAATCATTCCACATAATTCCAAACATGTGTGATAGTCTTCCCTCTCCCTCTTAATATTGATATTTTTGGTTAACAAATATAAGTTATTTTTAATGGCTGCATACTGTTCTCTTGTATCAATGTAGCAGTATTTAACCATACATCTACTGACTGATATTCATTTTTTTATTATATTTTTAATTGAAGTATCAGTGATATACAATCATATTCATTTTGACATATTTTATTGTATCCTTTTTTAAAAAACAATTAACTTTAAAATTAAGTTAAAAACCTCAAATTAAATCAACTTTAAAATTTTTAAATTTAAATTAATGCTGTGATGAACTTGCATATTGGCATACCTTTGCCTAACTGTCCCAATATTACTTTAGAATATTGATGTGGAATTTTTAAGTCAAAGTCTTGACTCAAGAGTTTTGATACCTACTGATTTCCAAAAAAGTTCTATGAATTTATATTTCCACTAGGAATAATGCTAATGGATAGTATCCATTTCCTCAGAATCTCTCCAACAATGAGTATAATCAATACCTTTAGTGTCTGACACTGATACAATTCATGTATCTGATGCTGTTATTTCATTATTTTAGTTTGCTTTATTATTAGTGAGATCTAATCTCTCATCATGTATAGCAAGTATTAAATATGATAAAATCTAAAAAAATATGATAAAATCTGTCGTGTGGTAATATGATTAGAATAAACATATCAACTGAATGAATAGTAGAGATCAGAAACAGACTAGCACAAATAGAATCTAATTAAATCACTACTGATATGCTGTTTTAGTACCTCGTAGGCTGGTTTTAGTGCATAAATTATCTTTTCATATTTTTATATATTTTTTTATTCATATTATATTTTTATTTATCCTTTCAAAGAAACATACTCATTTTGTCAAGTTCTAAGAACAAAACCTACTGTGTTATCAGCAGGAATTGCATCAGACTTACACTTGATTATTAGGATAATGACACTGCTGTGTTTAATTATGACACCCAGGAAGATGTTCTCTCTCTCAAGATTATCAGTTCTATTACCCCTAATATACTGCTGTTGTGAATTTAATTTCTAAAAATAGTATTTTAACCAGTCACTGCTTATATGCAGGAATACTAATGATATTATATATTTACCTAATATCCTCCTTTATCAAACTGATAATTCTAATAGTTTTTCAGTTGATGACTTTAGGGTTTTTTTTATGTATACAGGATCACATATGCAAACAGTATTTAATTTTTATAAATTATTTTACTTTTCAACATTGGTAACTCTTATGGACTTTCTTTATTATCACAATGGCCAGAACTTCCAATCAAGGTTTTGTTCCTGATTTACTTACTATACCTCTAAAAAGTCACCCTTCAGAAAAGGTTGGCTGCTTGAAATACTGTATTTCATTGAATATAAGATGTCACAATTTGTTAAGATACACAATTATTTTCTCTCAACACAATGGGTATAGAGAGCAAGTACTTCAAAATAATAAAGGCCATATACAACAAACTCACAGTCAACATCATACTTAACAGTGAAAAGCTGAAAGCTTTTCCTCTAAGATCAGGAACAAGACAAGGATGCCAACTATACCCACTTTTATTCAACATAGTTCTGCAGGTCCTAGCCATGGCAATCAGACAAAACAAAGAAATAAAAGGCATTTAGATCAGAAAGGAACAAGTTAAACTGTCACTGTTTGCAGATGACATCACTGTACATAAAAAAACCTAAAGAATCCACTCCAAAACCACTAGAACTAATATCTGAATACAGCAAAGTTGCAGGATACAAAATTAATACACAGAAATCTGTTGCTTTCCTATACACTAAC